ACTTAGACAATGTATTAAATAGTCCAATACTTCTGACCTGCGAGAATTGATCTTTCGCTCTGATTTACATGATCAACTATTCGATCGATCAAAAAATTTCGATTATGACTGGATACGTAACACTACATATAATCTGTAAGTGTAAAGTTATTTTGATTATGTCATATTGTTATACACATGATTTTTAAGGATGTTGTTATAATGATAGCATGCTTGAATATGAAGCGAATCATCTCGCAAAGGATCACCTTGAAACTTGGATCATGCTACATGTGTGGTCGTTTATTGATAAAATCTTTTTAGACATAGATGGCATGGAAATTGTTAGGTAAGCTTTTTTCTAGAGAAAACATTTTCCCGCTATTATAAATTTAGTTAACTATCTTCTTTGTGACAGAGGTGAATCATGTAGCTATGCATCGTCAAATAGAAAAAATTCACAACGGGTGGTTGCATCAACAGGTTCAAAATGAAAAAAAAGGCAATGGGTCGGCGTGGAGATTTAATAATCCGGAAATGGCATACGGAATATGGGTGTGGTGAAGCTGGAAAAATATTCGAAGGCATCAATGGTACAAAGATCATTAAAGAAGGGGGTTTGAAAATGCCCAAAATGCTTAGAGATATGTTCAATGACCTTTGCGAAACTATGAAAATGCGGAAGGATAAAATCAGAAAGCTAGAAACAGTCGGTTTTATCATCTCGGGTATGTATAAGCTTTTACATTTGCTAATTCTTGATTCGTATAACTCAGTTTTATCATTTTAGGCTTGAAGGATCTCATTGTTACGGTTAGATTTACCAGCGGGACATGTTTGTAGATTGTTACGGACACGACTTTTTGAGATACCAACTCAGGTCTCTGAATTTGGTGCAAAAGTCCTTCCAACAATGAGCTTGATATGGAAGGCAAAGGTAAGTGTCGTTTTAGGTATTTATAATTTGTCTTAATTCGTTTATTTTTTTTTAAACTTTTTTAAAGGCAATAGTGAAAAATGTAATCAAACTAATGGAGGAAGAAGATCTGACGGAAGAACAGCTCAAAATGCTACAGAACTGTGATGAAGTTGATGAAAGTGGTTTAACGACACCGCCACCTAGATTGCAATTACTGTCAAGTTCTGTGACGCCAGAAAATAAACGAAAGAGTAGAAATGACGAAAAGTGAAGGCAATGTTCATCATCACTATTTCAAACCGCTGAAAATTTTTATTGTGATTGGGATCTTGAGGTTACATTATTATCAAAAATTAATAAAATGTACCCACACAGTTGAGCTCCTGATTTTTAACATGTGTATGCGTGGTGTATACGTGCACCGGAAAAATATATGCCGATTTTTGGTTAAGTATTTATCAATATTGATATACCACTTAATCAGGCGATCGTAATAAATCGACGTAACCCACTTCCACTAATAATGTCAAGTAGTTCGGCGCCAACCGATTCTCGAGATTTAAATTGCAGAATATAAACATATTAGTATTTTTTATTGGCCTAGGTCGGTCAGATTCTAGTTCGGAACCCGAACCGTCCCTAATTTTTTTTCCTGGCAAAAGTGATACTATTCTTCTCTTGTAATAACAAGGCCACTTCGTGGTGAGTAAGACTCGGCTCTAGGAAATAAAATTCCTAACGACTCGTTGGATAGTGTCGCTTTTGTCTTTTTTCTCCACATATTCAAACTTTTTTTTTTCTCTACTTAAACCGTAATCTAGAACCGTCATAAGCAAATTATTTATACCATGTCCTCTGTTAATAAACGAAAAGAAGAAGCCGTTACGCTGGAGGAGGCACCAGCTACAAAGAAGTTATCACGAGAGGCCCGTAAACGTAGAAATAAAAGGCTTAAGTGGGAACGTGAGCACAGGCTTGAACAGAACGAACCCTCCAAAATATTAGAAGAAAAGATACCACCAGTTTCCGACCTTTCTACCGAGCTTAATATTACTTTTGATCTGTCGAGGGTATATTTATTTTTATGTAGATTCGAGGGTTGGGTTTTTGTTAATACCTTATCTAGTACAGCAAAAATACCTTTTCTTGTTTGGTTGTTCTTTTGTGCTGATAGGGGAATTCCCTGAGTTATTTGTCGCGAGTTTGCCCTGCAAGTTGTGGGGTGCAACAGACGCATAATCACCTTTTACTCTATTGGAGTTGGTGGCTCAGTACTTTATCGAGGGTAATTATCCCGCTCCGCAAAAAAAATACAACTTTGTGTAAGCCAAAGAATAGAAATTATCATTGCTTTTTAAAGTATACAAACACTGGCGAGACTGACTTATTCTTATTTTTAGCATCGGACACAATCCGCAACTCGGGGTTATGCGTTTACGATAAAATATATTATATCAAAAATGAGTGGTTCAGTCTTCCTCTCTGTGCCTTGTATCGGATATCGTCTAAAGAAGCTAAGATTGAATATGATATAACAACACGAGACTTGTTAATAGAAACTCTTATTCGGGAATCAAGGCAGAATAACTCGCGTAATTTGGAGACCCCCCTAGATTTTTTGACGCTAATTGATACTGATATTATTTGCAAAGTTAATAAGTCACCCACATCTGATAAGAAAAAACGCTTGTGGGTTGCTTTCGGCCGGTGGTTGGGAATGGAGAAACCAATCTAAAGAAGAGACGTACGCGAGCACCTCAGACTGAAGTGGAAAAAGCTTGAACACGCTATGAACATCCAGAGTAATATCGAATCTCAAGATTTACAAAGCATAATAAATGCATGTATTACATGAAACAAGAAGGTCAAACTAATACTATCCGCGCGTGAGAATTTTCGTTTGTTAAATGGATTGGTGAAACTTCGTCATATAATTAAACCTGGATGTATCGTAGACCAAAATAATCAGACCTTAATCCATCTCGAGAAACTCGATAACCATGGTGCCATAACACAAGCAACAAGTGCCGTGAATCATTATTATTTTCATACATTAGGGAATCCATCACATAGAAGCGAAAGTTTCTGGAAAAATTTCATTGAACATTTCGGCGTGTTTGCTTTAAATAACCTCCTCCCGTACATAAGTTCGAACAGTGCAAGTAGTCATAATATCGACCATTTAGAGTGTGTCAACGAATTAATCCACGGTCTCGAACCACTGTCGAACTCTATTAACCAGTTTCTTCTTCCCTATGATCGCGATCAATTTTAATACTATAAGCGATTTTCACTGGGATGAGCATGACGAGCCGAATTCACTATGTTGCTTGGTCGCTCTTGGAGATTTTGATGGAGGCGAACTTTGCTTTCCGCAACTCCAGATTATCGTTCCAATTCGTCCAGGACAAGTTGTTGCATTTTCCTCACGGCTCCTTTTACATGGCAATTTTCCTGTCACGAGAGGGATAAGGCATAGCGTCGTATATTTCGTCCATAGTATGTTCTTCCACCATCTGCGTAATTTTACCGAGATTTACAAAGATCGAAAAGATGGAATTGAGCGGGATGTGAATGGATCGGCTGTTCCTACAGTTTCCCACCAAGACTTGAATAATGCGAATGGATTAAACCGGATAATCAATCTCGACAGGCCGAAAGCCAATCAGATTC